CCCCAAAACCCCAAAACCCCAAAACCCCAAAACCCCAAAACCCCAAAACCCCTATTTTATAGAATATGTTGATTCCTATATTTGTTGCGACCTATTAACAATATTTTAGTTTTCCTTCTTTTTGTTCATGACGAGCTCAGTCCCGAAAATTTTATCCCAGAAGCTGGTTGTGATTCCATAACCATTATCTGGGTCCTTGTAGTGGTGGTACATGTGGTACTTCTTTCTGTACTCAGTAATCTTCAGAGGCTGACTATGATGGAAATAGTAGTGGCCAAGATCATATCCCATGTATGAGAAGATGAACGCACCAGTGAAAGTATTTACCATTATCCCTGGCAAAGTATTGATCCAGATTACATGGAACACGTTCCATATGAAATACGCCATGATTATTGGGAACACTAGTCTATCTGGGTCCATAGGAAAAGCATGGTGAATTCCATGGAAAATATAATGAGTCGCTCTGAAATAAGCATTATCAGGCATATATACCTCCATATGGAACACGAATCTGTGTAAAGCATACTCAGCGAATGTCCAGCAGATTATTGCGAAGATACAGGTCAAGATAAATTCCAATGGGGTCAGTTCGAATGATCCTTCGTAGAGTTTGTATGACGCAATAGGTGTCCAAAATAATGCAACGTGGTACCAAGGTGTCCTTGAGAAAAACTCTATCCATGAAGTTGCAAACATCCTGTGCTCATCATCAGGGCGAGTAAGATGCTTAGGATCATTGATGAAGTTATTGTATTCTTCATGGTTTAAATTAGAAAAAACTTGCCAAACTGTTCCGAGTTTTGGATCAACCTTCATCCTCCATTCTTCTCCTTCAATTTCACCCATCCTTGAGTGAGAGGTGACAGTATCCTGGCTCATCTGGTCACTTGTGGATGTTTCTAGGGTACCTATTTTCATATCTTTAAGCATTCTAAGGGCAATCTTAGTGTGTTCTTCTTCATAGAAAACTTCTGTCATGTCTTTGCCAACATAGTCGTCAATGAATTTAGGACCGCCAGGATGTGTAACTTTGAAATCAGTGGCATCGTAGACTTCTCCCTCAAAGACTACAATAGATCTGCCTTCTTCTTGAGTGAGATGATCAATTTCAGTTTGAGTAAAAACTTTCGTTCCAGAAGTTTTAGACATCAAGGATAAGTATATATTTAAGTTCAAATAATTTTAGGTTAAACGGGGTTTTGGGGTTTTGGGGTTTTGGGGTTTTGGGG